ACTTTCGAATGCAGTGAAATGCGAATCGTGTGCTTGCGTTTCTGGTCTGGTGCATTCGCATGCCTATGAATGGAAGTCTATGGAGCAAACAGTGCAGTGTATTACTAGTTCAATAAACCATTAAGATGATCTAAAATTAGTTTGACAAATATCTGTATATTGGAATAGAGGTTAGTTGTTTCTACTTATTTTCTTGGATATAAAAATATATTGAAACTATTGCGTGTTTTATGATATGCTGTAATAAATGTAAACGTTACTTATGATTTACCATATATATGTAGACATTACATGAAACATTAGGTCATAAAAATTGACTTGAAAGTCCTGGAAAAGTCATGGAATTTTTGCAGTAAAAATGTGTATGAACCCTGCTATAACTCCTGGTGGAAGTACCATCTTTTTATTATGTTTGTGCCACAGGAACTGGACAATATTTTAGTTGTAAGAAAGACTTCCGGGGGGACTAAATTAGTTCTATTTTTGAGTTTATCTCAGCACACTAGGAACCATCAATGACCTAAGTGTATGTTGACTGGCCAAATGCATGCTGTATGATAAAACAGTAATGTATTTAAAGGGTCATGAAACTCTCAAATAATTTTTTTGAGATTTAAACAGACTCATGTGTTGAACATCCATTAGGAAAATGTTAGCAGCTGTTACACTGCAGCAAAAAACGTGGAAATAAGAGAAATAAATGAAGGATTTAAGAAAATACAGCCTACAAACAAGTCAAATGATCTGCCAGAGCAGTAAAATAATTACACTTGGTAATATTTTTGGAGATAAGAAAACTAAAGAAAAAAGAAACGTCTTAAAATATGTATTTAAACGTATATAAGTGTTATAACTAATTCCAAGCAGTTTAGTTTTAAGAATAGTAACTAAACAGGATAATTCATCTTAATTTAAGAATTTTCATGATCTATTCTGTCTTAAAATGAGCCAAAAGATTTAAACTTAAAACAAGATTATTGAATCTATTAAATCAGGATTTTGCCCACACATTTTTATTCATATTAAGACTTGACAGTAGTTGCAATGCAAAATTATTACTTGTTGCTTCTCAAAATACAAACTCTTATCACAACAGAGTGAGGTGCTAATGGTCCAATCTGATTCAATGATTTGCTAAGCTAAAAGTGCTCATGCCACATCTGGAGATCAGCTGATTGAATTCAAATGTGAGTAAAAATAGGTAAAACACAAGTGTTTAACTTTAGGGAAGCCTATTATCAAGACATAGGCATGCAGAAAGTTATTGTTAGCTGCATCTACCTACCTGTTGCCTTTAGTCTGCTGCGCTGTTTTCTTTTCTCAGCCTTGATGTTATGTAATACAGTAATTCAAAAGTATCTGGATGCAGCTTTGATAGTGCAAGCTGAGACTGCATATCTCTGAGATGCCACCTTAGATACAATGCACTCAATAGAGCTAGTCATGTCACTGAGGCCCCGTTTACACTAGTGCGTTTTAGTTTTAAAACGGCGTTTTAGAATGAAAACGATCCGCGTCCACACTCGCGTTTTACCCAGCGTTTCTGAACTGCTCTCCGTCCACACCAAAACGCTGAAAACGCACATCACGTGACCACACACACACACTCTTTGGCAATCGCTGGAGCCCATCTACCCAGATGAGAGCTCTGCTAGTCGGACTTCTCATCAAGCATCTCCCGCTGGATCTAATCTCACTATTAAACGTGATATTTAATTCATCTTGTTGTCTTTATCTAACGACATGTTCCCTGACTTTGGTCATTGGAATCTATTACTTGTTCTCAGGTAACGTGTTTTGGCTGAGCGCAAAGATAAGTTAATGATTAAACCACGTAGGCTACATTCTGTATATTGACTGATCGCTTGCCTTTATTTCCTGTAATGTATAAACTTATTGTATGTTATACTTTTATAATGGCCATTATCGATTATTAAAACTGGTATTCAGCAAAAGAGAGTGTATGTTTCGTATTTTCACTGAAACTGAAAGGAGACAGTTGTTATCGGCTCCGTTTTGTTATAAATATCCACACAGTGAAGATGACGCTCATGCAGCACGACACCTCAACATTTCTGCTGTCTGTTTGTTAATATTAAAATAAAAATAGGCAGTTTCTTATATCAAGTTTACATTTTATTGTTGAGAAAGTGAAATAACGTAGCCAGGGTGATGTGAATGAAGTTATAAAGTACACTGTTCCCTGTGAAGATTGACGCGTGTCCTCGGTATGTTTTCCATATCAAACTGAGAATAAGAGATGCAGCCTTGATCAAACTTGCGAAGTCTGAACTTACACGGAGAAGATGCGGGACTGAACTGTGTGTGGGCTACTTAATATTGAGGAAAAGCCCCTATCAGAGAGGCGAATGTCTGCAGCCCCGCCTCCGTTTTCAGATGTCTCCGTCTTTCCCCATCCACACTGAGACGGAGCAGCAGCGTTTTAGAATGAAAACGGCCTCTCCAGCGTTTTCGAAACGCTCCGTTTTCGGCGCTCGAGAACTCCGGCGTAGTGTGGACGGATGGCGTAACCGTAGCAAAACTTATGCGTTTTCAAACTAAAACGCATTAGTGTAAACGGGGCCTAAAATCTAGGGTAGGGTTAGGGTTATGGTAGGGTTATGTGTGGGCATTAAAAAGAATTGCATGCAGCTCAGATTGCAACTGCACTAGGTCTGCATCCAAACCCTTTTCCAGTAATTTGCTTTAAAATATCCTTTAAATGCATAATTTTAATCTCTACATTTCATCTCCATTATCACGGATCCTACAAGACACAATGTGAATACATCTTTTATTGTGGTTTCCTCCATTTTCTAGTTGTTGAGCTGGCTTACTCTACTTTTTTGTGTTTGTGAAAATGGCCCTGTGGGGAAATGTAGTTCTTGAAGGACTGCTGTGGTGGATAGTTCTTGTATATTTTTATTTTTTTGCCTTTGTAACTCTTTATAATCATCAAAATGAAAGGTAAATCTGTTGTTCTTTATTATTTTTCAGCATTGACTCCCTCAGCGGACGCCACTTCTGTGAAGTAGGATTGTGGGAAACCCATGGATGTGTCAGCAGCATTAGACGGAGGCTGAGAATACAATGGAGAAAAGAAAACAAACCTTGACGTCTGTAAACTGTCAGCGAATGACTCTTTGATCACTGGAGGACTGATTCATTGTATTAGTGACAGTATTATGTGAACATTGATATCAATTTTTTTCATTTTCAGTTATGGCTATTTTTATTTATTACAGTGAGGACTGTAGATACATTGGATTTCTCAAGCTCTCATTCAGTAGAACTGAATAAATGAGATCAGAATTAAATATTTAAAACTAAACGTATTGTGTTTTAGAAGTCTTTTGTTTACAGACACAAACAACTATGACTCTTTTATTCACAATTTTGTTTCTCTATTATAAAAAGAAGTAAATTTTGATAGTGTTCCTGCAGGTATTTTTACTGGAATAGAGTGCGTTTGCCCACTTTTAGGATTTTTTTTTTCATAATCATTTTTAGTTTTTGTTAAAGCATTATATGCAGTAAACCAAACAGCTAGGATTAAAATCACATTACAAACTTTGATTTTGAATCAAGGAAGTATATACAAATCAGACTAAAAAGAAAACTACTTATTTGAAGGACTACAATCCATTAAGCACTGCAAATGACAGGACTAAATCAGAAACAATGGATGCTTGTATTTACTGAAACTGTTTATTTAAAGTTGATTGCAAAATACTAATGCGTGTACAAATATTTTAGGATTTTGCAAGTGTAGGGATGCAAACCTGATTATATCATTCAAGAATGGAAGAATCTAAATGTTTTTTTTTTTATTTATTATTTTTTTTTATAAAGCTCTAATTGGTGGAACATTGCAAGGCTTTATGGGTAATGTAGTTTTTTTTCTGTGTAAACTTTCCAATTTGAGGTATAGTTCACCTAAAAAGGTAAACATTGGCATTATTTACTCACCCTTCACATGTACAGAACGTGTCAGTTTTTCTTCTTTTGAAAACAAAGGAGGATTTTGGATCTGGAAACCTGTAATCATTAACTTCCATAGTATTTGTTTTATCTTTATATACATAATATATATATATATATATATATATATATATATATATATATATATATATATATATATATATATATATACATACATACATACATACATACATACATACATTATCAGCCCCTTTAAGCTATATTTTTTTTCCTATAGTCTACAGAACAAATCATCGTTATACAATAACTTGCCTAATTACCCTACCCTGCCTTTAAAGCCTTTAAATGTCACTGTAAGCTGTACAGAAGTGTCTTAAAAATGTCTAGTCAAATATTATTTACTGTCATCATGGCAAAGATAAAATAAATCAGTTATTAGAGTTGAGTTATTAAAACTATTATGATTAGAAATGTGCTGAAAACAATCTTCTTCCCGTTAAACAGAATTTGGGGAAAAAAAAATAAATGGGGGCTAATAATTCAGACTTCAACTGTATGTGTTCTTCCAACCATTTTAGGTTTTTTAATAAGAAAGTCGATTTATAATTCGATGCTAACTGACATAGCATGTTACAGTAGAATATAGCTATATAATAATAAGCTAGATACATAAACTCACTGTGATTTAACTATTACAGAAACAGATGTGACTTGCTATATTATATAAATATGCCTATATCTATATCATATCTAGAAAGCTAGTAAACTCGCATGTATTTACATTGATATGATGCACATTTTACTGATTATATTTATTTTATTTCACCAAAACTACACACATTTTATACTGTGAAAACAAATAAGCTTCATTAGTAGTTAAAACTATTCAGTTTTAACTAAGGGTTTTTTTTAACACCATGTGACAACAGAGCCACTCCCACCTGCCGGAAGAAATAGGTACTGCTGAACAGCTGACGATTTAATTATCCGACACAAACGCTGCGTTAAGTTAAATGTTCGTGATGTATGTGGTAATTTCCAGCACTTAGACAACAAAATAAATGTTATACAACATATTTTTATTTAAGTGCAACATATTCCAAGAGATCAGGGGATTTTTTTAGAAATCCGCATCACACCAGTTTTTGCATTGCAATACTTTCTGTTTGTAACTGGTCTCAAAGCTTTAATTGTACTGTGCAAATCTATGTGAATGAATCACAGCATGTCTTTGAGTACATCATCTGATGTGGGCTCAGCCAAGCCAAGCAGCTTCAGCAGGGTGAAATAGGAAAAAACCCAGGGCCGAGAGATGTCCTGTGTCTGCTCCAGTCCCTCAGCCTCCACAAAAAGACCCCTGTGAAACTTTAATTGCTGCTCCAGTGCTGCCCTCTGCCTGTCATACACAGAAATACACTACACTTCACAAAAACAACCTGCAGATTTATCAAACAAACAAAAACAAAATTATTGGGCCATCTTCTTTTGTTTAAAACAGTGCAAATGGCTTATCTAAGGAGATTTTAGTCACACTTTATAATAATGTACATTTTTATCAGCCTGAACTTGTACGAATAAGCCATTAAACTGACAAAACGTAAAATAGTTAAATTTCCTCAGAAATGAGATCAGGCTGGTTTTATGTAAACTGGATATGCTTTTTGACTACTAAAGTAAATGTTGACTATTAAAATAGAGTTTCAAAAGATGTAAAACAGAAAAATGAAAGTCAGAAAATATTTTCATGAAAACAAAACAATAAAAAAAAAAAAAGCTGGTTTTTCCAACTGTATCCAATCAGAAAAACAGATCCTTCATAGTGACGGAGCTCTTGTTGTATACCTTTTATGCAATGCTATCTCACGGCAATTCATTACTTTTTGATTTAGTAGCTAATGAATTGCGGTGTGCGATCACATTGGTACAATTTAGTACAATTTGTTTATCCCCCAATGGCAGTTGGGTTACGGGTAGGGTTGGGTGCCACACTTCCTTTTAAAATGTGTACATTTTCAAACGACTGAACTTGCACGAATTCGTACAAATTAGCCACTAAACTAGCAAAAAATTTAATAATTATGTTTCCTTGTGAGGTCAGGCTGGTTTTATGACTTTAGTTAACTTTTATGCTTTTTGACTGCTACAATTAATTTGGACTATTAAAATAGTTTTAAAAAATGTAAACTGAAAAACGAAGTTAGAAAATATTTACATTTCATAAAAAACTGAATTTTTAAAAAAGAAAGAAAAAGTTCTTATTGTATAGGTTTCATCCAATGCTATCTCATGACAGTTTGTAACTGATTTAGTGGCTAATTCGTATAAATTTGTATGATTTCATTCATACAATTTAGTATGATTTGCTCATCTGCCAATGACGGTTGAGTTTAGGGGTGGGGTTAGGTGCCATGCCTCCTTTTATAATTTGTACATTTTTATATGACTGAACTCGTACAAATCAGCCACTAAACTGACAAAACGTAATATAGTTGTGAGATCTGGCTGGTTTTATGACTTTAGTTAACAGGGTATGCTTTTTGACTGCTACAATTAACTTTGATTATTAAAACAGAGTTCCAAAGCAATGTAAATTAATTTAGATTTAATTAAAAATTTGTTAATCTCTAAAAAAAGAGTGGTTAAATTGTGTACGTTTATTTATTATTTAAATTAATTTTGACTATTAAAACAGAGTCCAAAAAAAATTAAAACTGAAAAACAGAAGTCAGAAAATGAAAACAAAACTATAAAAAAATCAGATTTTCCCTACATTCTGTATTTAATAATAATAATAAAAAAGATCCTTCATTATGATGGAGCTCTTGTTGTATACGTTTTATGCAATGCTATCTCACAGCAATTCATAACGTTTTGATTTAGTGGCTAATTCGGATGAATTTGTAAGATTCATTTGTACAGTTTAGTACGATTTGCTCATTCCCTAATGTGGGTTGAGTTTAGGGGCAGGGTTTGGTGCTATGCCACCTTTTAAAATTTGAACATTTTTATACAACTAACTTTATATGATTTCATACAAATTAGCCACTAATCTGACAAAACGTAAAATAGTTAAGTTTCCTCGTGAGATCAGGCTGGTTTTATGACTTTAGTTAATTGGATATGTTTTTTGACTACAAAAATTAATTTTGACTATTAAAATCGAGTTCCAAAAGATGGAAAACAGAAAAACAAGAGACAGAAAATTATTACATTTTACTTATGACAGCAAAACTGAAAAAAAAAAAAAAAAATCCCTACAATCTGTATCGAGTCAGAAAAAACATCCTTTTTAGTGATGGAGCTCTTGTTGTATACGTTTTATCCAACGATGTCTCATGGCAATTCAATTCGTAACTTTTTGATTTAGTGGCTAATTTATATGAATTCATACAATTCATTAGTACAATTTTGTACAATTTGCTCATCCCCAATTTCGGTTGGGTTTAGGGGTGGATCTGGTGCCATGCCTCCTTTTAAATTTCGTACATGTTCATACAACTGAACTCATATGAATTAGTTCGAATTAGCCACTAAAATGACAAACCTTAAAATAGTTAAGTTTTCTCGTGAGATCATGCTGGTTTCATGACTTTAGTTAATTGGATATACGTTTTTACTTTTAAATTTACTCTTTAGTTTTAAATGTATTTAAACTTTTAGCAAAATATAGCAAAACTTTTTGATTTTTTTTTAAAGAGCAGATTTTCCCTCTAATCTGTATCCAGTCAGAAAAAAAGAAATCCACTATGACAGAGCTCTTGTATACGTTTTATGCAACGCTATCTTACAGCAATTCGTAGCTTTTGCATTAAGTGGCTAATTTGTATGAAATTGTACGATCTCATTCATACAATTTAGAACGATTTGCTTATCCCCCAATGGCAGTTGAGTTTAGGGGTGAGCTCTGGTGCCACACCTCCTTTTAAAATTTGTACATTGTCATATGACTAAACTTAAACGGATTTGTACGAATTAAACTGACAAAATCTAAAATAGTTAAGTTTCCTCGTAAGATCAGGCTGGTTTTTATGACTTTTATGGTTTTATGACTATTAAAATAGATTGCCGTTTTTCTGTTTTACTTTTTATGGAAGTCAAAATGTTTATAAAGCAAAACAGAATTAAAAGAAAATCAGAAAAATAGATGATCCTTCATTAAGAGGCAGCATTGAAGCAGTGACACACCTGGCAAACAGCTGAGCCTGCAGTCTGGCCTCCAGTTCTGCGCTGGCCGCTGCTTCCTCCTCCCTCCTCCTCCTCTCCTCAGCAGCTCTCCTCTTCTCCTCCTCCTCCTCCTGCTGTCTGCGCAGGTACTCCATCCTCTCCGTCTCCTCCATCTCTGACAGCTTCCTGCACTCCTCCTCCCTCCGAGCTTCCTCCTCCAGACGCTGGCGTTCCAGTTCAACTAAAAAACGAGGACAGTGTTTCATTCGTTCGTTCACTCGATCATAAACTTCTATGTATAATGATCTGTATGGCTCTCCACCAAAGACAGTTGGTTGTAGTCTGTGGGTTTGGAATGAAGGACGTAAAGGGGTTATAAAGCTCTTGTGAGCATCATCTTACATCATAAAGTTATCAAAGGGACTCGTATGGACTTTGTAGACATGCAAGTGAAGGACACAGGACCAAAAGTCTACACCGAGCTTGTCATTTATGTGACAAGGCCTTAGTACTGTGGTGAGTATCACTGTTATGTAAGGTGAAATCAAGACCATTACTGCAAATGTTTCAGACATTCCATATTGAGCCAAATGTGAACTTATGAAGACAGTCAAACAAGCCAAAAACTTGGTTAACTGCATACATAATTCAAAATAAAGGCAAAATAATTGCAAATAATGTAAAAAATCTTATAAAACATCCAATTCCAAACTTTATAATGAAATTATATTTATTTCAGTTTGTAACTAATTGTTTTACATGACTTATAGACGTTGCAGGGCACGAGTTGTATTCAAGTGTCTTACGAAAATTTATGTCTCACCTGCACCCTCACAATCATTACAGTACATGGAAGTGGGGTGTAAATGTTTTGCAGTATGTGCAGTAAGCAGACACGGATGAAGTGCGAGTGATTTACATGTGAAGTCAATGCAAAGGTGCAATTAGACATCCTGTGGCACAAATCACATGAATGACATGGCATGAATTGGGCGTTTTGTGCATTTGATGCACTTCAGACTGCAAAAAAGTGGGAGCAAACATCTAACCAATGGAGCAATGGAACAGACAGAACAGCAAGCAGCTTACAATGATGTAGATTGGTTCAAGGATGACGGCCTCTGGACATGACCGAATTGAAGGACATAAGTTATGCAATACACGTGTGGCTGGTGGCGAGGCAGTGGTGCAGTAGGTAGTGCTGTCGCCTCACAGCGAGAAGGTCGCTGGTCAGTTGGCGTTATTTTGTGGAGTTTGCATGTTCTCCCTTCATTCGCGTGGGTTTCCTCCAAGTGCTCCGGTTTCCCCCACAGTCCAAAGACATGCAGTACAGGTGAATTGGGTAGGCTAAATTGTCAATATTGTATGAGTGTGAATGAGTGTGTGTGGATGTTTTCCCAGAGATGGGTTGCGGCTGAAAGGGCATCCACTGCGTAAAAACATGCTGGATAAGTTGGTGGTTCATTCTGCTGTGGCGACCCCGAATTAATAAAGGGATTAAATCGAAAAGAAAATGAATGAATGAATGTATGGCTGATATTATGATGTGCGTCAAATCGATAAATGATTACGTTTAACGCTTTCCTCACTGTGGACGAGAGAAAACGCTTCCCTGCCGAGTTTTACAGCAATCCGTGGATTACGGTAGTGGATGCAATGCATGTCCTGAGCATAGAATGAATGAGGTACATGATGTCAGATGCTCAAGGGAGTGAAATCTGAAAGATAAAGTAAGATCGTGGGATTTTTAAAAATATTTATGTATAATTTTTTTAAATCGCAAATTTTTCGTGAATTTCTGGGAGTTACCACCTCAATTTCAGTCATTTTTAGCGTAATAAAATTGTGAAAAGCTGGGGAATCGAATAATACCAGGAAAAATGTATGACTAATATGTTGATTAATATGCAGATTGTAACTAAACATAGTTGATTAAATCAATTCAGCAATGATTATTAATTCAGTTTGCTGTGTATTTATGGTTTACACTAAGCAATCATACACATGGGTCTTTTGATAAACAGGACTTTCAAGATGCTACTTCTGCTAGTAGTAAATTGCTAAATGCTAACTGTGATTTGCTAAGTGCTAACATAGTGCTAACTAAGATATTCAGTGCATAGTTAGATGCATAGATAATCAGACATAAGTGCTAACATAGTGCTCACATAGTCTTGAGTTGTTAGTTTTATAGGGTGCATTTACATGGTTTATAAGTCTTTTCTTTTATATTTTTTGAAAAGATCTTCAAAAAGCTAGTCAAATACTTTATTTAACATACCAGGCAAGCAATTAGCATGTCAGGGCACAGGGTAACCTGTGAAGGCAGGTAAAAAAAAATTACCATAACTTCAATAGTAAAAAAAAAATAAAAAATAAATAAAAAAGACTACAGCAAAAATGCCCAAGCTTATAGATTGTCTCCCTTATATATTCGGTTAATAATCATAAATAGACTTTGCCATAATTCCTTGCATGACACTTCACTTCAGCCTTTTTGTTAACATTATTATGGTTCTTTTTAGATTTTTCTTCCTCATCAGTGATGTACATTAGAGTTTTACATTACATCTAATGCTGATATATAATGTTTGTTTCATATAATATTTCACAATATTTTAATTTAATGTTATCATGATGGTGTTTAATAGTTGTGTGAATGAAACTGAGCGACTACACAGAGCACTTCTATATGTTTGTGTTTCTCTGCTCCTGAAAAAAGGTGTTTTATTTGTCAACATAGAAGGGGTCGGGCTTTTGTTGAGGGTTTCACTTTTATTTAAAGCTTTAGCATTCATGCAGCTGCTTTGTCCCAGAGATCTCCAAAGACTGAAGCACAAACCACATCTAAATGTTTACACATTTGACTACATTACAAATTCTGCGGATGGATAAGCATTGTGAACAACTTTGATGAAAACACATGGAGAAACACTTTCGTATGTCGATATGTGTGTGCTGGCGCCAATGGCTGGCGTTTACCAGAGCACTCTTTCACTTCACGTACACACGCGTCAAGCAACTGAAGCAGAGCTTGAAGGTGAACAAACAGTGGCTTATCATCAATAATTTTTTACACAGTTGGCATTAAGAAGGAACATAGAAACGTTATCTGACTAACATCTAGCAGCTAAATAGGTCTGGAATAATATTCAAAGGCATTTATTTTCAAAAACAGCACGGATGTAAATGTGTCTGAGTTTTCTGATTGGCTGGAGTACATGTCTCATGTCAGTGCGTTCTAAGCGTGAACGCACTCTTTCCGGCAGTCTTCCTTCTGCGTTCACACACTGCAGCATTTTAGAATATTACAACAATTATTAATCTTACAACTTCTCTTTCCGGAAAATTGGAACGAATTTACTGGTATTTTCAAAAAGGGCCTGTTCACACATACAGACCTTTCCGGAAAATTGCTGGTAATTTTCCGGAAAGGTCTGTATGTGTGAAAGGGGCTATTGTCATGTGTAGATGTTTGTACTTTAACACACTAGTGTATAATAAGAGAAATGAATGAAATACGATAGTTGACCATGAATTTATTTTTATAGATTCTAACATATTTTTAATGGTAAATTTTTGGCAACCACAGCTGCCCCTTTTTACAGCAAATTTACTTACTTACTTTTTTTTTTTTTTTTTTTTTTACAGTTTTCTAAAAACAGAAAACATTATTTTTACTTTGTCTTGTGTTTTAAAATTGTATTTAAGCTTTTAAATATTCTTCATTTTTAGATTCCATTTGAAAAAGTTCTAAACATGTTTACTTCTAAACCTGGGCTTCTTTTTACTTTAAAGTCACATTTTTGCACAGTCCGCTGTCAAAAAGTTAATGTTAGTTTGCTGCTTTTTAATAACTGTGTGAGCAAATGTGTTTGATACTGTGTTTTGTTCTTTAGTTTAACATTTAAGGGCACCTACGTTACCCCTTTTTCAGATTCTTTTGTGTCTCCAGAATGTTTCTGTTAAGTTTCAGCTCAAAACACTCATCAGATTTTTTTTATTATACCTTTTTATAAGTTTCTATTTTCTACATTTTTGCACCAGGTGGCGGTTTTGTTGTACTGCACCTTTAAGGCTAGTCCTCCCCGCCCACCGTTTCCACATACTGTGTGCCTTAATCTCCTCCCTCGGCTGCGTCACACAACAGACAGACTTAAAGGAAGCAGATCTCAAGTAGCGTTTGTGAGAAATACTACAGTAAGAACTTTACCAATGAGTATCTGATGCATTTGTTGTGTTGAGTTGCAACGATGAGTCACACACAATGTCGAAACAAAGTTCACGTGCACACACACAGATACACACACATACACAGCGCAGACACACAGCAGTTAATCTCCACTGCTGTATGGATATCTTATGTCAGTGTACAACATAAACCTGATTTAACGTCCACAAACCAGGATTGAAGCGTTTTTTTATGATTGTTCTGACACGCGGCTGTGCTGATGAGGTAAAGCTGAAGTAAATCGCTGTAATTCCTTACACACATGCACTGTTTTAAAATATTTTAAAACACACGCTTCTTGATCACATTAGATGATTATTAATGATCTTAGCAAACTGGTCAGAGCTTTTATTCCCTGTTGCTTTGTGCATGTCCTGTCTTGTTTATATGATTATGCAAGTGACTACCAGGACATGTTAATATGCAGCTGTCAATCAATTCGGTGGGCGGGGGTACCGCACTCCTATGTTAAGTTGGTGTCAGTCCATAAACAGCTTCAATTGGTCCACCGTTTTTATGCTGCTAAATTGAAAAAAAAGGACTGGGTGTGTTTATATCACCCCAATATGACGGTCTTTACACTATACCTACACACATGTCTGTCCAAACAGCTTAAAAAGTAGATTTTTCACCATAGGTGCCCTTTAAACAAACTTAGATCACAATTGCTTCCTAGAACAAATCTATAGCTACATTTTCCAGTTAAAATCATTTAAAAATTCATCAAATGACAGTTTAAGGCTCAGACCAATCAGAAATTATGTATGCGCACAGATATTTACCAGCCTGCCGTTTCTCCTCTTGTTGTCTTTCTCTCTGGAGTCGTTCCAGCAGCCTTCTCTTTTCCTCCTGTCGTCTTCTCTCTCTGTCCTTCTCTGCCTGCTCTCTCCTCTGTCTCTCCATCTCCTCTGCAAGTCTTCTTTGTCTCTCTTCATCTTCTCTAATCCTCTGTAACCTGCATATACGATGGCGATAGTTTCTTGCCAGTGTCTGCAGGATAGTGGTTCGTTACAGTATTTGTTTCCAAAAAGCAGCGCCACATTGTACCTTGCTTCCTCAGATCTCTTCCTCTGTTCTTCTTCCAGTTCAAGCCTCATTCTTTCTTCTGTTGCCTCTTTTTCTAGCTGTCTCTTCTTTTCCTCCTCTTTCTCTCGCCGTTTCTTCTCCACCTCCAGACGACGGCGCTCTGCCCTTTCTGTCAGCGCTGCTTTTTTGTCTGCTGGGTCATTTGGAGCCTCACTGCTTTTAATCTAATGGTAACATATTTTAGCATGTATGGTTATAAATATAACTGTAACATGACAGGTAATTGGGTTACATTTTATTTTAACGTACAATTCACGTTATTAACAAACCATTTACTAGGACTTTTAACTCAATAAACTCCGATTATTATAAGTTAGTAAGGTAGCTTGGTTTAGGCATTGGGTAGGATTAGTGATGTAAAATGAGATCATATTGTGTGCTAATAAATATTATCTTAATATTAGGCAGGCAATAAGCCAGTAGTAACTTTAAGCTATCAGTGATATATATATATATATATATATATGCATGTAATTACGTCTGTAATTCTAAATGCTCTGTTGACCCATCTGCCATCCCTTACAACTTAACCCACTCTTTCATCTACCCAAACAACCTTATCTGTCCCTAACCTGACTCCCACTGCAACGGCACCACAAGTGTTGTGCAATACAAATATGAACACAATAAGTACATTGTACTTATTTTTGGATGTCAGTACCTACTAGTTATGGCCACTTAATATAAAGTGGACCACAATTTTGCATACAAAGGATTGCGCTGATGTCAATAGACCTGAGATGCCCTGCGCTGCTGGAAATCTGATACTGCTTACACAACTCTTTAGGAACATTTAGGTTTTAAAAGTGAAAGTCCTATTAACTTTGTCTATATGAGGTTGTTCATCAATGTTATTTGCCTCTGTTGAAGCCATCAATCTGTATTCTTTCTCATCATTTTTTGACCCCTTAAATGTCACCGTCCCGATAGCAGGATCCTGAAGTTCACTAATTCACTTTATTGCTTATTAAATCCTAATCGAATTATGACAAACCATATATCATTGGAAAGGTCTAAGTCTTTTGAATACATCTTTTACTGTTGATTTATTTCTGTTATGTACTGTAGAAATAGTTATAGATCAAAATCTATTTACTCTTTTCAGTTTTGGCTACATTGTTGTCATGTAAATAGCCTTAAGCCTGGTTTAGACTTCTATGTCGATTGATCGGCTTGACCGACGGCACATGGCTTGCACGTTGCCGTGCATTTATTCTTTTGCGTGCTGTTTCTATTTCTCTGCAATAGAGCTTCTGAAATGCTAGCTGGCAGTGAGGATTTGATATTTCTCTGTGTCGAGTTTCTTTGCTGGTGTTTAGCTTTTTCTGAATGCTACCTTAAATGTGCAAGTGGCTCAAACTTGCTTTTGAGGCTGGAACCGGCGGACGTACAACAACTTTAATCATAAGGTAAACACAAAACAACAGTTTCCATCCGAAGCTCCTTCACGGGACTTCACACTTGGAAATACTCGCTCCATTGGGCTCACGTGGCTCTCACCCCCACCCACACTCATCAGTGCTACCAAGCCGACCAATCACAGAGCTTGCGTCATGTGTCGTTGAAACGTGTAGTTACATTTTTTGAGAGGTGCATGTCAGCATCGCCGACGGCCATGGCGAGGGCTATGATTCCATGCGTAGGCTGCGTCATAGCATACACGTGCGCTTGACGCAGAAGTATAAAATAGCCCTTAGTCGCAGGCTGGAACCCTGCTGTAAAGATGTAAAAAATTGTTTGTTGACTTGAGTGATTTTCAAAGTCAGGCATTTGTTGATATCTACTGGTCTAACAATGCAACTGGAAATAATTACTAAAAAATTAATAGGCAGATTTATTGAAAGTGTGTGTATATCATATCTGCCGACACTCCTGTTTTTTCTGAGAGTCTCCCGTATTTCACAGCCATCACCTGCCACCCTCCTATTATAATATTTCTCCCAGTAAACTCCTGTAATTTGTAAGGCCTAATCTAGTTACGAAAAGTCACTTTTTCGTCACGTTTGACAGATCCCAAGTTGCCAGATCCTATATGAAGTCACACAATTGACGCAATACTCAAAATATAATAAATCTGGAAGCCTTTTTTTTACCTCAATCTTGCAACATACAGCCTGGTTGCACTATTTACTCCTGTGCAAGTGGCAGAAATAATGACCTCACATACAATTGAGGAAATACCTGACTTATAATAAATCTCAAAGCAAATTTTACCTCAATTTGGCAACATACGTTACAACCCAGTTGCACTGTTGATTTCTGTGCTGGTGGAAGAAATAACCCCACAAAATATTGAGGAAATATTCGAAATAGTATAAATCTCAAAGTATTTTTACCTTAATCTGGCAACAAACATTACAACCCAGTTGCACTGTTGATTTCTGTGCAGGTGGAAGAAATAATAACCCCACGCAATATTGACTAAATATTTGGAATATAATAAATCTTGGGCTGCACGGTGGCACAGTGGGTAGCAAGTTTGCCTCACAGCAAGACAGTCACTGGTTCAAGCCAAGGCTAGGTCAGTTGGCGTTTCTGTGTGGAGTTTGCATTTTGTCTGCATGTCTGGTAAGTTTCCTACGAGTGCCTTGGTTTCCCCCACAATTCCAAAGACATGTGGTACAGGTGAATTGGGTAGGCTAAATTGTCCGTAGTGTATGTGTGAATGAGTGTGTATGGATATTTCCCAGTGATGGGTTGCAGCTGAAAGGGCATCCGCTGCGTAAAACATATGCTGGATAAGTTGGTGGTTCATTCAGCAGTGGTGACCCCTGATTAATAAAGGGATTAAGCCGAAAAGAAAATAAATGAATGAATGAATAAAAAATTTCGAAGCATTTTTTTACCTCAATCTGGCAACATACGTTACAACCCAGTTGCACTGTTGACTTCTGGCAAAATAATAATATCCTTACAAAAATAATATCCTTACAAAATGTTGAGGAAATATCTGAATTATAATAAATCAATCATTCATTATTTATTCATTTTCTACCGCTTTCCCGGAGCCGGGTAGCGGGGACAGCAGTCTTAGGAGAGAAACTTCCCTCTCCACAGACACTTGCTCCAGCTCCTTCGGGGGATCCCGAGGCATTCAGGCCAGCCGAGAGCGTAGTCTCTCCAGTGTGTTCTGGGTCTTTCCCAAGGCCTCCTCCCGGTGGGGCATGCCTGGAACACCTCCCTAGGTGTCCGAAACGGATGCCCAAGCCACATCAGCTGACTTCTCTCGATGTGAAGGAGCAGCGGCTCTACTCTGAGCTCTTCCCAGGTGTCAGAGCTCCTCACCCTGTCCATAAGGGTGCGCCCTGCCACCCTTTGAGGCCGTACTCACACTAGGTACAGTTGCCTCGAACTGGGCCAAAGCACGCTTATCCCCCCTCCTGTCTCCCCCGACGGGCCGCACTCACACCACAATCGGGCCTCGGCACGCTTACTTCATCGCTGCTGCGCTGTTCAGTGAGAAGCGCTCTCACTCAGCAGCCCAGTGGACATTTCTCTAGTTATATCGTTTCAGTCGTTTGATATGCAGTGACATGCAGTCAAATATTTCGCCAGACAGTCCTTAGAGATGCGGTGACACGCAGTCAGATATTTCGCCGAACAGATCCGCCACTTTTGGCGCTCATAATCATAAAGCTCTCGTGCTGCAGTAATGAGGAGGTCTGCTGAAGGTGCGCAGCTGTCATGCAGTGAGGGGTTTGCGTCTTTAATAAACTACGGCAGTTTGCGTTCATTAAACAGTAAGAATGATTAATAAATCCATATGAAACAGTCCCTTAAAAGTCACGACTCGCTTTCAGTTTCGGGCTTAAAGCCCAAGTGAACCGCGCTCAGGCACACCTCTTCCAACCGGGCCAGGGCCAGCCAAGTGAACCGTGCTTGAGCCCGATTCAGCGCACTCACACTTCTCAAACGATCCGGGAAACGGGCCTGGGCACGGTACGGATGGCATAGTGTGAGAAGGCCCTGAAAAAAACTCATTTCGGCCGCTTGTATCCGAGATCTTGTTCTTTCAGTCATGACCTAAACCTCATGACCATAGGTGAGAATAGGAACATAGATTGACCGGTAAATCGAAAGCTTAGTTTTTCAGCTCAGCTCCTTTACCACAACGGACCGTTACATCGACTGCATTACTGCTGCCGCTGCACCAATCCACCTGACAATCTCACGTTCCATCCTTCCCTTACTCAGGAACAAAACCCAGAGATACTTGAACTCCTCCACCAGGGGTAAGAACTTTCCTCCAACCTGGAAATGACAAACCACCTTTTTCTGGTGGAGCACCATGGCCTCGGACTTGGAGGTGCTGATTCTCATCCCAGCCCCGTCACACTTGGCAGCAAACTGCCCCAGTGCATGCTGAAGGACCATGTTCGATGAGGCCAACAGAACAACATTGTCTGCGAATAACATGTTCAGCGCCTCTGATCCCATACTCCCCGAGCATCCTCCACAGAATGCCACAAGGGACATGGTCGAATGCCTTCTCCAAGTCCATAAAACACGTGTGGACTGGTTGGGCATACTCCCATGAACCCTCGAGCACCCTGATGAGGGTATAGAGCTAGTTATAATAAATCTCAGAGCATTTTTACCGCAATCTGTCAACAAACCTTACAACCTAGCTGCACTGTTGATTTCTGTGATAGTGGAAGAAATAATACCACTACAAAATATTGACTAAATATTTGAAATATAATAAATCTCGAAGCATTTTTTACCTCAATCTGGCAACATGCGTTACATCCCAGTTGCACTGTTGATTTATATACAGGTGTATTTACACTTGTGCCATTAGCTTAATATATTAGCTGTTGAATCAGAAATACTCACACTGTGGCCTCGATCAGATTTAGTGGGGTCTGGCTCAGATTTGTTGTAATCTAAGGCAGGAAGGAGTGCTGAGCCTGCTGACTGAGGAGGCAGGTGGATAAGAGAGAGTTGTGCTGGGCCGCAGTGAGCTGCTGTTCCCGTTGAGCTGCTCCTGATAGATGTCTGTGAGGGTCCGTGAAGGCTGACATCCGAACGTGCTGTAATGAGCGAGTGCTGGGATCTCCTAATGCTGTAAACCGATCTGAAAGAGTCTGCATGTGTGTATGAGCTCTCGGAGTCGGTATAAGCATCCAATTCGTCTCCAGAGTCAATATAGCTGTGATCTTGTGTGTTTTCTAGTTGGGTTTCCTCTGTGTTGCTAGATGACACTGCTTTCTCATGGCTCATCTGCGTCTCTGGCTCATCTTCTGCATTTGTCATCCATTCAGCTTGCTGCGGTTGAGGTTTACCTAAAACAGATGCAGTGAAATAGCATTGAATAGCTTGCTTCTTCTTAGGGAGCATTACAAATGAAAAAGAATCTAAAACTTTATCTAACACTAATCACCTTTCATATATTGAACATTATAGAAGAACATAATAATTTAAACCCTTTAACTGCCCCACCTAGGGAAAAAAAAAATGTTTGATTGCATGTCTTAACTCCTAATGTCACAAATTAACACACTCAATACACTTTTTTCCCCAACACATCCCATAATTTATAAAATGTCAGCCTCTAGCAAATGGTTGGTTGACATGCCAGTTATGGTCATTTGGTAGAAGAGGCAGTTAAAAAGGTTAATGTTTGTGCTTTCAATGTTTTGAAACATTTAAAAAATATATATCTTCTTGGTAACTTCTGCTTACCAATGCAATTATAATAATATAGTAAAATTTAATACAGTAAAAATTGAAACTTGGTGAAGTATTATTACACAATGTTTACAAAATGTGTGTAAAAATGCTAATTAAACATCATTGTCTCAGTGATTTCAGGCCTTCAAAACGTCCTGAAAAGGCAAAACCCAACAAACACATCTGTTGTAGCGATGTCTGTTCAACGTTGTATTTTCTCAAAGGCAACATCTCCTCTTTAGTGCTCGTTACATTATTACAATGTAGAAATGTAAAACGTGAAAAGGCTGTAGCAACGGTGTCGTGTGACATTCATCAACCGTGAGACGACGTTCTTACACCCCATTCACACGGGGCTTCAGTGTCAACGCTTGACTGAAGGCGTGTCTGAAGTTGGGGCTGAGGCGAACGTCATAGAAGCGTCAACAAATGAAATTCAGTCAGCAATAGGCCACTGTCTAGCTGGTGTATTTGCATACAGCGATCTGATTGGCTGACGCTTCCATCGGCGCATGAAAAGTTGAGCTAGTCCCAACTTCTGCAGCGAGCAACGCCTCTTAAGTGGCGCTGACGGATCCACAATGCAGTTCGGCAACGCTTGACGTCACCCATTCAAAGTGAATGGGAAGCGTTGATGCTGACGCCCCGTGTAAATGGGGCGTTACTACATGTATTAATGTTTTTCCTGGCAGTTTACCAATTCTGCCTAGAATACAGGAGAAGCAGTAATAATTTAAAATATTGTTTATTCATTTTTCCTTTTTAATTTAACAACTGCATATGCAAACTTATAAGTGTAAAAATGTCACACAAATGAATATAATCAAACTTTATTATTATATATTTTACAATATTTATTACATAAAGTAAACATCTAATTATAAGCAAACAGTAAAAAATAAGGTTTATATTACATTAAATAATTAACACTGAACATCGAAGCTCTGGATGGAGAATACGGCACACCAGTGGAGCGCAGCCGAAGACCAGAGGCCTCAAGGTTCAGTGCTGCATATGCAAAGTTTTTTTTTCACACTCAAGTTTGGATTTACTAACAATAAAATTAACGTGAGAACTTTATGTCTGGTGTAGGTGTATTTCTTGTGTGTGCTACTACACTCAAAAAAATCAACTAGGCATGTATTAGATTTACAAAATAAAAATTTGTCAGATTGAAAAGAACAAATCAAGTTTATGTATGTTAAATGGCTAATTCATGTTATTTGAAACTGAATCAAGAAATAATCAAATGAATTTGATCAGAACATGTTTATTCAATGAGACTGAGACGCTTCAAATCGACAACTCTCACTCTGGAGAGTCACTTCGCGCATATCAGTAGGTGGCGGTAGTGCATTTGGATGTCACCATACGAAAACAACAAGAAGAAGTATCACGGCGTGTTTTCGGCACAGTTTGGGAATGTTTTCTATCTTTTTTGTGTTGAATTACTTAATTTTAAATCTTGCTTCATAGTATTGTCATTTAAAAAATGTAATTTAAACAACAATATTGAACAAGAAATTTACTAGCTGATTTAACAAGACATAATTTTGTTAAAGTAAAGCTTTAGTGCTACACTGAGTAAATTAGAATCATTTTAATTAGAATAACACAATACAAACATTTTGAGTCAATTAGTTGCAAAGAAGTTAGACTGACATATTGAAACCATGTTTTATCTACAAATGTGCTTTGTGTTCATACAACATGTTCAAAGCAGTTCAGGTTTACTTGATTGGATTAGATGCATAAAGGCTGCCACGATTAAATCATGTTCATTCAACAGGTTTTTTTTTTTGAGTGTATCTTAAATTGCACACTACAAAGTATCGTACCAACACATGTGAAAAACATTGCTATTAATTTATAATTGATAAAATGGGTTAATTGTATATTTAAATACTACATTTTTTTCACAGTGATCTTCTGGCTCATGATGATGACTGGCTTATTAGCCGTTTCAGATTTCCAAGAGCTATCCTCTTGGAGCTCTGTGCTGAGTTGGGTGCAAATTTGGAAAGAGAGACAGCAAGGAGGCTCCAAGGTGGCAGGGTGCACCCAAGGTGAGTGTCTTCTTGGTGAGTGAAGTATTTAAAGATATTATTCCAGCTAAGATTTTATTTTAATTTTATTTTACTGAGTGTAATTATTTAACTGCATATAAGGAGACTGCGGTTATCCATTAAAGATGTGGCTGTTACCCCCCCCTCAACAACCCACAAACTGACCCAGAGCGCAGATACAATGATGCCCATTCTCGCACTCAGTCAGTTGTAGAGCGGGCAATTGGGCAGTTGAAATGCCGGTGGCGCTGCCTTGATAAGAGCAGAAGGGTGCTGCTATACCGGCCCAACAAAGTGTTCCTCTAATACATCTTTGTCTCCCACAGACACGGATACTACTCCAGACAGTAAAGTGTCGCCCACAATTGAGGCAACTCTCTCCTCAAAGGGTGTTAGTTCAGCATCCCCTGTTCCCCTGCATGTTTGGAACAGTCGTTGTTGAATGAGATGCGGAACGGTCGGTTGAAATTTAAACTGATTCATTAATGACGAGTAAATGTCATACAGTGGTCGTCTATGCCGTCTAAGCACAACCTAAAGCAACAACCGTTTAAATAGCAACACTATAACACCGTTGTGACAACCTTTAGCAACAACGTAGATTCTCAACCTTTTTACAAGGCTGCTACAATGTTGTAGGAGGGTCGCTACTTTGAGTCAACGTTGTGTGTTTGTTGGGTACCTTTGGTAGCCAAAATAAAAAAAAATCATGCTGTACAGTATAAAATGTTAAAAGAATATGATTGATTTTTAAAATCTGGTCCTTGAAAGGACAGCTAACACAAACTCACCTACAACAAATGCCGGCTGACCCTTTTTCTTCTTTTTAGCTTTCAATAAGGAGTTCTTGGTCTTACTATGGTCCACTTTTTCTTCTTCAGTCTCTTCAATTTTCACTTTTTCTGTTTTCATTTTCTTCTGTAGATTGAGAGCATATTATTGCAAATATAAGGCATGCTAAATATGAGAAAACATATAAAGTGGTAAATAAAAAGGATGTAAATGAATTTTACATTTAACCTTTAAATCATTTGCTGAAAAACATTGTTTTATATCATATGTGCTAAAAAGTAAAATACATCATTAACGATGATGTAAAAGTACACAATTAACTCATGTGCAAAGTATATTCCTAATTTTTACATTTTTAGTACAATTGAGTGATTGGAAAAGAAAATTGTCCAACGTGTCCTTCTGTTTTTATATGTCTAAACATATAAGGTAGAACAAAGGCCAAATTCAGTCAGGAAAACACTTGTTGAGATTCAGGAAATGGATATAAGAAAACAGAAAAACTCTGAAAGTACTTCTCTTCTTATCCAAAAACAAAGTCAAGCATCTTCAGTTTTTTTGTTAATAGTTTGAGCAAAAGTTCAAGAGGTTAAACAGTAAATCATTTTTTTCACCAACTTCACAAATAGCATATGGACTTATAGCATATATCTTACTTTCTTTGAGGTAGAAGAGGGAACATCAGGGACACTTGTATTTTGGGTCTCAGCATCTTCCTGAATTTGAACAGTTTTCCCCTTTGATTTGCCTGTTTGCTTGTTAGTCGTCTTATTTTTCTTCACTCTCTCCAGCAGCTTGTCTTCTGTATCATCTCTACCACGTGAACTTTTTGATTGTTCCTTTCTGTCAAAAAGTAACAACAGAGTATATGTGATATTAAAGGGATCATGATATGAATAATTAAAGTTGTCTTGATCTTTTTAATTTTAAGAGGTCTTTTTTTTATTAAACATCCTGCAAGTTTCAATACTTCAATTGCCCTAATTGTTATGCACAATGCATTTATTTATTCAGACTATGAAGATGTCTCGTTTGCAAGTGGGGTGGTGTGTGACATCACAGTGGTATGTAAAGACTGCCTTCAGAGCACAGGCTCCGCCCACTCATATTCAGTAACTTGAAGTGATTATAATCACTGCTGCTCTACAGTGAATGATGTGTACATTCTCACATGCAACTGAATCTATTGACACACAAGACACATTAAAGAGTGAAAACTTTCGCTTTGGACGTCTGGTTTAAAGAGCTCGTTTCAGGAGGATCTCAGAATCAGGAAAAAAGAGATGGTCTACTGATGTCACATATCGTTTTGGAGTATTAGATATTGTGCATTGAATAAATAAGTTAATAATGTCATAATTATCATAATCTCAGATGAGAAGTGCACCATGTCATGCCATGTCTTTTGCCAAGTTCTTAACATTGTTTTCCGTTTGGTGTCTGTCCGTGGCAAATAGAAAAAAAAAAGTAAAGATGTGGTGTGCCGTGGCAGTGCTTCTCATCCTGTGTGAGAGGCAGGAGGAGGCTGTTTGCTGATGTTTATTAAACAGTTCGCTGATTAGTTTATTATTGGAAAGCTAAGCAACAAAGTTTGTGTTTGGGTATTAAATTTAACCCAGTATTTGTTGCTTCCCTTTTTGTCATTCACTTTTTGCTTATTGAATTTATTTATTGCATCATTTACATTTTATATGCTGGCAATATTTGTTGTTTTATGCAAGTCTTTTGTTAGTTACGAAAGGTATACTTAGAATGGATATTTGTATATTCACTTCTTGCTATTAATTTTTCACTGATGTTACATTTTTTGTTGTTTGAGTAAAAAATAAATACATTTTTTGCTGTTGAATCTTTAATCTGTTTGCTACTGTAAATGAACAAAATATGTTTTAATCACTCTAGAAGGAAGCAAAGTAGGAAATACAGTTAAGTAGAAGAAATGTGGCAAATCTTTAAGCTTCTAATTCAATAATTGTTTTTAATAAGTAATATAAGCATTGTGGGAAATCAGATTAAAAGTTAGATTGTCTACATTTGCTGGTTTGCAATGGCAGTACTTCACTACTCACAGCAAGGTAGGGCTCCAAAATGATTTTGCTCTGGGCCCCCAGATGTACAGAGCCAGCCCTTAGTGCGAGTCTTAGAACCCAGCACACCATCACAGCATTTATGCCTCGTTTCCACTGATAGCCCTTTTCCACAGAGTGGTACGGTATGGCACAGTATGATCCGGTATACTTTTATGTCCATTTCCACTTTCAAAAGGTAATAAAAAGTGAACCATATCATATCACTTTTGAGTACCCTTTTCAAATGGTAGGAAAACAAATACTATGGAACTCAATCTCCATTCTCCAAATTCTTCAAAATATCATCTGTTGTGTTTAACAGAAGAAAGTCAAATGGTTTTTAAACAAGTGTGAGTAACTTTACTCAAAAGGGTGAGTAAATGTGGTGAAATATCCCTTTAAGGAACATTAAAATAACTGTAAAATATCAATGTCGTGATGTCTTTAATGAGAATGAAGTGGAGAAGAGTGTCGGAAGTAAAGATATAGGCCAGACGGAGTGATAAGAGCTCAGATGTGAAGCGATACTCTAATCTCCATTCTCTGCTTTATTTCTGCTCGCAGAGCCTGAGAAGAGTTTCACCCTGAAACCTGAGCCACAATCAAAGAGCACCAGAGACCGGAATGGATGGAGTGACGACAGAGGAATGCAAACAGTGATTAGACAGGATATTAATGAGTCCCAAAAACCTCGGAGCCAGGCTGAGTGACCTCTAGTTGACCTCTGACCTGAAGCCGCAGCCTGTTTTGTGTACACCAAAACACAACAGGAACGCAAGCAGGATGATGATTGAGGAGGTAGGAAGTGATGAAGCGGCGGAAAGCGAGAGGGAGGAGCTCAGGGAAATTAAAAGGACGTTTGGGGGATTGATTGTCCAGAAATTACAGAGAGCACTAGGCTGTATTTATTATTAAAAACCCTCTAATCATCTTGGTTAAACTGTTATTATAAATAATAAGTCCTGGTTAGCTCAGCATTTTGCCGGGTCAACTAAAAGTAAAACTGTTTACATATAACTTACATATTTCAGCTAGTTGCTGAGGAAATTTTTAAAATATATATATATAGTTTGCTTGTTCTCCCTGTGTTCGCATGGGATTCCTTCGTGTGCTCTGTCTTCACCCACTAGTCCAAAGACATGTGGTACAGGTGAATTGGGTAGGCTAAATTGTCCAGAGTAAATGTGTGTAAATGAGAGTGTATGGGTGTTTCCCAGTGATGGGTTGCGGCTGGAAAGGAAAATTAATAAACAAAAATTTATATATATATATATATATATATATATATATATATATATATATGTGTGTGCGTGTGTGTGTATATATATATTTTTTCTTTGTTTAATCACATTTAAATCCATAAAAGTAAAATAATTTTTGTTATTTAAAATAAAATAACATTAAATTAAACATTGTTATAAACACATGTTAAATATACACATGTATAAAATATTAAAATATATTAGTAAAGAAATTGTTTAAAACAAAACTAAAACAAAGCTAAAACACATATTCAGTAGTTACCTAGTACTAAAATAATGAGTTTAACTTGATAGAATAAATTATTTATGATATATAACTAAGAATAAATCTAACTAAAGAAAAATGAAGCTCCAATTTCCCCCACAATTCCCAAGAAATGCGCAATAGGTGAGTTGAATAAGCCGTATTTTTTACATATTTTGCGTAGTGTATGTGTTAGAGTGTATGGGTGTTTCCCATTGATGGGTTGCACCTGGAAAGGCATCCGCTGCGTAAAACATGTGCAGGATAAGTTGGTGGTTCATTCCACTGTGGTGACCCCTGATAATTAAAGGGAGTAAGCCAAAAAGAAAAAAATGAATTAATAAATCTAATAAATGTAGGTAGGGCGGCACGGTGGCTTAGTGGTGAGCACTGTTGCCTCACAGCTGGTTTGAGTCCCAACTGTATCAGTTGGCATTTCTGTGTGAATTTTGCATGTTCTCCTCGTGTTGGCATGGGTTTCCTCTAGGTGCTCCGGTTACCCCCACAGTCCAAAGACATGCGCTATAGGTGAATTGAATAAACTAAATTGGCCTTTGTGAATGAGTGTGTATGGGTATTTCCCAGTACTGGGTTGCAGCTGGAAGGGCATCGGGCATCTGCTGCGTAAAACATATGCCGGAATAGTAGGCGGTTCATTCTGCTGTGGCAAGCTCGAAAATAGAGACTATGCCAAAGGAAAATGAATGAATGAATAAATAAATGTCGTATTTTCAAAAAATCTATTTAAAATAAATGACAAAAATTAACTCTTTTGCAAAACACTAAAGCTGCCGAAGATTAAACTGAAAATCTAAAAATTAAAACTTAAATAAAATTTAAAGTATTAATAAAAAGCATGAGCATTTTCAATGACTACACTACAACAACACCATCATTTGATACCATTTCACTTTTTTGACTTGGTTTTATCACAATAATATACATTTGCTATACAATGCAATCCCTCATGCATCATTTATTTGGACAGAGGGGTTACGTGTGCATACTGGGAACATATTCGGGGAATGTTTTGTTATTTGCCTGTTGGAATTCAAATACACAAGCGTGTCAATCACACTGCACATCAGCACAGACTTCATAAACACAAACACAGGAGCACAATATGACATGTGACTGAAACTCACTCTGCAGCCGCTGGTAATCCTGTCTGGATTTCAGTCTGTCCTTCAGGAGACAGAGACTCTGGTGAATATGCTCTGGCAGTGAAATGTGTTGATTTTGTGTTGATAGCCGGCGTAGCACCTTTGGACTTCCTTGACCTCTGTGTCACCCCAGTTTCCGGCTGTAAAGTTGTTGTTTTTACCCTCCGGTTTCTTTGCACCCCAGTGACCTCCTCTCCTGTGGGGAATCACAACTATTTGTGTTGATTGATGTTGTATAGTGGAGATCAAAATGACAGAACAGCCTCCTATTTCCTACATTTCGAGCTCCACAAAGTTTTAAAGCCAATTTCATCAATTACATATATTCTGAAGCACAGTGTTAAAAATGTAAATGAGATAATTAGAAAACACTTTCAGGTTCCTCACAGTTATTGGTGTTAATCTGGTCCCTGGTGAGAAATTCCTTTTTTTTAATAAATCCTGCAACTAGCAGCCAAACTTTCCATTTTTTTTACTGATTTTGCAAGATGTAAAAAGCCATTCTGTTTCTAGAACACTGTATATTTACAATGTCATTAGCTTATTTAAGTGCACCATAAAAGTTGTCCATAAAAGACAAATGTCAAGAGGTTCTTATAATGTAGCAAATCTTGGTGGGTTCTGGGTGTCTGTTTAGTAGTCACTTTTCAGGCAGAACAGTTCTCTTCGCTTAACTGTTCCATTTCCGGCTGATGTGGGCCAGGATAGGGTTTCATATTCTCAACATAAGATCATTCTGAAAATGTAAACATTGCTGAAGATCGCAAATTATGAAGCCAGCGCTACATATGGCTGCATTTTATCTTTAAAACTAACAATACAGAGGGGTATGATGTCGTTCCTTTTCGCACTTATAAGCTGACCGCTTACATCCGTATGGACAGCTTTCCAGCTGTTACCAGACTGTCCAGTAGCTCGACATGTATGTCAGTGGATTTGAGATGCAAAGCGGAGTTGACCACGAAAACAGGGTTCAAGTCCGGTGAAGAACTGTTCCAGAAAGCAGGTAAGACAAAAACAAAAGCCAATTAATTAAATAAACAAGTACTTAACAGGGTGCAAATGTGGTTATATCTGAAAATGTGGTAAAAATCAAGCAGCAAGAGTTTTTCTTTTTCTGGATCGCTTTTTAAAACTGTCGGTTGGGTTAGGGTAAATGGGTGGGCGGGTCAGTCTGTTCTTTTGAAAACGGTTGGTTTAGTTTAGGTATGGGGAGGGTGGGTCAGTCGATTGGTCAGTCAGTCATTCGGTCAGTAAACAATCAGTTGACAGCGGCCTCTGGTGGATGTATGCGAGAACAACAGGTGCTTATGGCACTCGTGAGAGAAATTTGATTCTCAAATATCTCAATAATTGTACACAGCGGCCTCTGGTGGATTCGCGAAAACAAAAGCTGCAAAAAAAAAAAAAAAAAAAAGCTCCTGGGACATATTTTGCTCTCTCCCGAAATGTATAGAGGTACGTAATCAGAATGAGCCTGTGTTGCATAATCCACTGTGGTACTGATAAAACAAATCTCTCTGGAATGTAAACACAGGTGTTACAAACAGCGATATGGACGAGGATCAGATTTTTTGGTTTTGGGGCTCTTTTTTTTTCCTGATATTTACTTTTTTTGAATTACAAAAAGAGATGTAACGCTCTTCCACCTAGCCAACTATGGAGAAACTGGGAGCCAGGCAAGAGAGTGCACACACATGTGCACACACATTCTACTGTTTTAGCACAGTTGTCTAACCGTGCCTTGAATTCTGAGTCGAGAATAGTTTGAAATTGTGCCATGCTGGAAACACAGCTAGAAGCGTACCAGGGGCCTCATGTACGAATACTTGCGTTGAAATCATACTAAAACATTGCGTACGCACAAAAAATTCAGATGTATGAAACACTGCATACGCCGAATCACATGTATATTCTCTTTGTACATCCGAATGAAGGTGTAACTGAGCATACGTGCACGAGCGCAAAACCCCTCCCTGCCCCCTCCCCCGTATAAATATGCTAATTACTATACTTTGGCAAAACCCAATGAAAAAGCAATGGCAAAAGCAAGCAAAAAGAGAAACTTTGAACAGAATGTGATTTGAAGGTGCTGCTTTCGGAGGTAGACTGGGGAAAAACGGTGTTAAATGCAAGTTTGTCCTCCGGAATTAATAACAAAAGAAAGAAAAAAAATAGAGTGGGAGAGTTTAGCTGATGCGGTTAACACAGTTGGGTCTGAACATCGCACTGAGTGGATTAAAAAATAAATAGTGCTATGTAAAGGTGTAAAATTTTGTAGCGTCTTTAACAGCGTGAGTGGCGTAGCTCGTAAAGCGCATGGCATCATGTTTTGACACATTTAAGCATAAACTCAGCTCGAATCCAGCGTTTGATGAACTCATTCTTTTTTCCCCCCGCTACATATCAGATTTTGCCTATACTCTTCATCACGAGGAAGACAAGTAGGAATCATTAATAAGTGTGTGCATCATATTTTATTTGCACATTTATTGAATGGAAATGTTTCTGATTTACGTATGCAAATTCATCTTCAGATAGTGCCTTTATAGCAATGTGTGTGCAGTAGATCGCTCTGATTACATTGGGAAAAACGGCGACCTCTGCAAATTGCGCTTTGATGTTTGGCTGGTCAACTGCATGGTATGGAAACCTTATATACCTGCGGATGAACCCGTCTCATACAGCTGCCAGTGCACGGCTCAAAGACACTTTGTAGTGTGCAATTTAACTTAACTGCCACTAGGATTTGCCAATGGAAATATAACAGACACACACAAGAAATGTGCGTACGCCAGGCATGAAGTTGGCGTGGACCTGCGCACGTTCCCAAGTTAATTTCATCGTTAGTAAATCCAAACTTGAGAGTGAAACCTGGCGTACAAAAAGTTTTTGTGCAAACGCAGCGTTGATACATGAGGCCCCTGATTGTTCTTAGAACAGTTTGGCACAATAGAGGAAAAACAAACCCAGGCTCATTCTAATTACGTACTTCTGTATACATTTCTGGACAGCGGCAAATACATTATTATTTATTTATTTTTTGCAGTTTTTGCTTTCACGAATCCGCCAGAGGCTGCTGTGTAGGCTTTTTGAGATCTCAAATTTCTCTCGCAAATGCCATTCGCACCCGCTCTTCTCGCGGAAATCCACCGGTCGACTGACTGACTGACAGACCGATCGAATAACCCACCCTCTTCCTTCCCTAAACCCTACGACAGTGTTTTAAAAAGCAATCTACGAACAGAAAAGCCTTACGGGAGCGGGATTTTTACCACGCTTTTAGATTCTAACACATTCACAACCTGTTATTTACTTTTTTGTTTTATTTTTTGTGAAAAGGAACGGCGTCATACCACCCCGTAGCGTTCAATTTAAAGACAAAATGCAGCCATACAATCCTCTAGCCACAAAATTTGCGATCTTAAGAAATGTATATAAGGTTTTCAGAATGAGCCTATGTTGGGAAAAACGGAATTTGGACTGAAAGCCCTGCAAACCTCTCACCGGCAGAAAGAATCAAAAGACTAGACTAACCTTTACTGAAGAGCATGCTGTGGACAGAGAATTGGTCAAATACCAAAGCAAGTTAATATTTTGGGTTTAACCTGGGGAAAGTCTGAGCCCAAAGTCACACATACAGCATGTCTCTGAATGTTTATAGTGAGAGAAGGTAGTGGAGTAAGAAGTTTAGTATCACTTAAAGTGGGTGGGATTATTGCTATACTTTTGTTCTGCCTCTACAGCTGCTACTTCCTGATTTTTTTTATTCTGGTTGTCTCCCAGAATGTGTCCCATCTGCTCCTCGAGTACAAATGAGAGGAACGTCTGGACCTCTTCTACTGATCACAATGCAGCTATTCCAGGTGTCTTTTTCTTGTGGTGGTATAAAAATGGTTTAGTCATGTGAACCAACAATCTCTTGTGTTGCAAATCCAGCAGTGTGTATAGGTCATGTTTTAGTACCGGTATGAGGTTGTACTAAAAAAAACGTAGCAGGTACTAGGTACAAATTGCTGTGGAAAACCCCCAGAAGTGAGCCGTATTGAGCCGCACTACATCATACTATGCAGTGGAAAAGCGCTTTCTGGTAATGCTGTGATTTGATGTTGAAGTATTAATATCTCATTCATAATAATGCATGGTTATTTGGATTGAATGAGTTCTAGCTCATGAATAAATGTGGAGAAATGCTCAGAGTCTGTTGTCGTCACTTCATTGCACTGAAATGAACTGCCATCTCATGTTGTTGTTTCAACTTCAAACCGAAAGGACATTTATTCAGTCATTTTCCTTCGGCTTAGTCCCTTATTTATCAGGGGTCGCCACAGCGGAATGAACTGCCAACTATTCCACCATATGTTTTACGCAGCGACTGCTCTTCCAGCCACAGCCCAGGACTGGGAAACACCCATACACTCTCACATTCACACACTATGGTAAATTTTGTTTATCCAATTTACCTATACCGCATTTGTTTGGACTGTGGGGAAAACCGGAGCACCCAGAGGAAACCCACAGAACTCGAATCAGCAAGCTTCCTGCTGTAAAGCGACAGTGTTAACCACTAAGTCACTATGCTTCCCACCAAAAGAACAAAATTTAAAACAAAGATCCAATTTTCACCTAAGTGAAGTTTATGTATGAACTAATTTCGAGAGGATCACGTGCTTATGATTGCTAGCGGCTGGATCCGCATATCCAATTCAATACGCTCCAATCAGATGACTCCTAAACTACTATAAATACCCTGGGTTTCATTCCACTGCTTTCTTCGTTTTGAAGAGTCCCCCCTTCCAACCCTACTCCTCCTTCTTCCTAGATGGATGACATGGTGGCCCAGTGCGTAGCACTGTTGCCTCACAGCAAAAATGTCTCTGGTTCCAGGCTTTACCAAACCAGCCGACATTTCTGTGTGGAGTTTGCACTTTCTCCCCGTGCTCACGTGGGTTTCCTCTGGGTTCCCCGGTCTCCTCCCACCGTCCAAAAACATGCAAGTTAAGTTAATTGACTAATCCAAATCTGCACCATAGACATGCTTCTAGTATGTAGTTATCTCCAAGAGCAATCACTTACTGTTCATTGGTTACTACAGCAGGGGAGCTCTCGAGATCTACCTGAGCTTAAACTCCCCTCAAGCCTTGCAACGGGAGGGAACCCTGGGTTCGAGGATCTCATGAGCTCAGGGCTCTCTCCAGGGACAGCATGCCAAACAAGCTTTTATAATCAATCATCAGCAAAATGTGAACTCTTGAATAAAATTTATGAGTCACAATGCTGTTTTCGGCAAGGTGTATCCTTAAAATCTCCAAAAATGTGTTAGGGGGTTTCGTGACCCTTTAAGAAGTCAGTGAAAGGTGGAGGAGAAGGGTCATACTTTGGGGGATGTTTACTGCATGCAGAAGTTGGAAAAATAAAGCTTGGATAGCAGATCTAAGCTGAGCTGTTACTCAGGTTACCGGTTTTCTTGAGCTGTTGAGTTGTGGAGCTGATCATTTCCTCTAATCTCTCCTCTGGTAAATAGACCTTGAGAGAGAGACGGGATGAGATTCAGTAAGATTAAACCAGGTGTTAATGGATAACTCAAAATTGCATGCTATACCGGTGGAACAATTACCTGTTCATTCTGAAGTATTTCACTGTCTGAACTGAAAAAATCCTCTTCCTTTTTTACTTTAGATTGCTTTGCACGTGATCTGACCTTAATCTAAAAAAAAAAAAAAAAAAAACAAACAAAAAAAAAAAAAAAACAGCATCACTTATACAAAACTTTGAGATGTTTTAGGCATCACAGATTATTAAAGTGTTAAATTTATCAGTTTATAATAAGGGTGGCCAATTATTTATGATCAAAATAGGTCCAAAAGTATTCAGTATGTGACAAGTCTATTAAAATGCAAATAAATGACCTTATAAATCATGTTAAGAAAGCAAAAAAAAAAAAAAAAAAGAAGTTTTTTTATGTCTGTGAGATACAGCATGGTTTAATTAATATCACACAAGCAAGAGCTTGATTGCACATGATTATCATATATACATGCAAGTTCACACTGATCAAAACCTTAGCTGTATAACATAGACAATATTGTCGGTCAAGAAATCCATCAGGCAAATAATTGACTATGGTTTTGTTCAAATGAAAAATGTTTAGTGAATGTTCATGCAGTTTAACAATATACTCCAATCAAACAACTGTGTTGCTCCGTCTTTCTTGCTTTCACTTTCACATCTTGTAAACAGTCCAATAAAGGTTGAGCAAACTACTACAAAGGGGTAAATCAGCAAATGTATACAACTAAACACATCAGCATATGTAAACTGTACATGTATTTGAGCACTATAAATAAATTAAATAAAATCTTACAGTGGCTCTTACAGTCTGTTTTTTTTTGTCTTAGCAAACTAGTTAAAAATTGTTTCATTTAAGCCAGAGCAAATGTTAGATTTGATTTTGATTAGATTTTTAAATTTTTGAATCAATCTTGTTTTTTTTTTAACACATCAAGCTAGTCAATCATTCACTGTTTAATCAACAAAGACTTCTTTGTTTTCTAAATGAATAAGATGTTTTTAATGTATGATTCAATTAATATTTACTCACTGTTAATGTTCAAACAATGACAATTTAGTTTTAATATTACTATACTTAAAAGGCCTAAACCAGCAAACACACAGCAAAATATAGGTTAAGTATTGTTATTTAAAAACAATATATCCTCCATAATTTGTAGAATTGTCAATTTTGCACATAACTGCTTCACTAATGTATGCTGCACATTATATAGGTAAAAATGATGCCTCACCTGTTCCTCCTGCACTATTTCATTGTTATCATCCAAATTATTTTCTTTTCTCTTGATCTTAGTTTGCTTTGTTCGAGATCTGACCTTAATCACCTAAAGAATACAAGATCTTGTGTTTTTCTTTTTAGTTACAACCAAATCTGTAACACTTAAATCAGCTGTTCCAATAGTTGGACTTTTTAAAATGTTGAGACTTTCTTCAGACAAATACATGTAAACATACTAAACCTCATGCATTTAAAAAGACTTACCTGTGCCTTCTGAAATATTTCACTGTCAGAGTCTAAAAATTCTTCTTCTTTCTTTACCTTGTTCTTCTTTGCATGAGACCTGACCTTGATCTACAGAAAACAGCACTTTACTTATTGCAGATTTGTTATTTCCATCTTAATTCGTAATGCTTAAATCAGCTCCAGCTAAATGTGTTTTAGACAGATGAAGACTCTAAAGATGTTGATGTTTAGACAGATGAAGACTCTAAAGATGTCATATCACAGCTTCTCAACAGTTAATATAAAACAGAGGACAACTCACCTTTTCCTCTTGATTTATTTCATTTTCAGCAAACAATCCCAAACAATCCTCCTTCCACTTGGCTTTCAATCTTTTTGGATGAGATCTTACTTTAATCACCTACAGAAAACAGCATCTCACATATTTTATTGTGACCTAAACAAAATAATAATAATACATGTATTTTTAAATAGTGTCTTTAGGCCTATCATGAATAAATACATTTGAAACTAATAATACTGCCAATAAATGTCAGCAGGTCCCTGTCCCAGTTCATGATTCATTGAATCCATCATTTGTTTTGTTGGCTGATTAATTTGGAATATTTATGAAAGGATTATTAATCGTTGACTATATTTATGCAAAAAATGGATTTTGTCAGGAAATACACACTGAGTGTTGTTCTTGTTAACATTTATTTGATTGGTGAAAAAGAAAAACAGAAATCAATAATATATCGAAATTTAACTCACTCCGTATTAAAGGGATGGCTTAACCAAAATTTTGTGTTGAACACAAAATAATATATTTTGAAGAAAGCTGGAAACCTGTAACCATTGACTTCCATAGTGAGAAAACAAATAATATCGTAGTCAATAGCTATGTTTCCATCCACATATTTTATGCACATTCGGTATTAATCGCATAAAAATGCTTTATGGAAATGGCAAGATGTGCTTCAGTTTTGAAAATGTACAGAAAAAAACGTATGCACATAACTGAGTAGGGTAAACCTTTTGTTTGAAAAGTGCAAAAAACTATGATGGAAACACTTTTACTGAATAATTCCATCTTGCGCAATTAAAATGTTTGTGATTTTGATCATGTGATGATCAAAATGAGTGCAATAGACAGCATAAATGAACAAACCAGCGGGCCATTGTAAAACATCTAAAATGTTATTTTGGTCATTCTAAAATGTCTTAACCAGAGTCTTTATATTATTATAATATTATTACCGTTTTTCTTTTTGATATTTGGCAGTTTATCAGGAAGTGACAATTCTGTGTAATATTTATGTGATTTATGCGATATTCCAGTTTTACTGGATCCATCTTTGTATCCTTTCAGTTTTCTTAAAAAAAGTCTTCTTTTATGTTCAACAGAGCAAAGAAAGTCAGATTTGAAGCAAGTGAAGAGCTGCTAAATTATGACAGTTTTCAGTTTTGGGTGAACTATCTCTTTAATTTCCTGACTGCTGAACATTTGTTCATTGAAAATTTGTTAATTGAAAAGCAATTCCTGCTTTTCAGGAAAACTGCACACTCGTCTGTATGATATTACTTAACAATATCATATTTTAAAAACAAAAACGTAATATATTTTAATTTCATAACTTGAATTGTTGGTTCATTCTAATAGGTTTTGCCACACAGTCAATGCGTTCTTATATTTTTCTTACAAATTGAGGGACATATTCATATACGGTCCACTCGCACATTATTTAAACAGCACATCTGTTATCAACGTAGACTTTAAATATTTCACACCCCTACTTGGTTGTAACAAATTTTATAATAGACCTTTGACTGTTAAGTATGTTTACTGTACACTGTTTTTAAAACGCACAACATTTATATTGAGGATTTTAAAAAAAAGGAAACGTGTATTAATCTTAAATGTCTTGAAAAAAAAATCACTTTGATCAATCAATCAATCAATCAATCAATCAATCAATCAATCAATCAATCAATCAATCAATCAATCAATCAATCAATCAATCAATCAATCAATCAATCAATCAATCAATCCCACAATAGTGTACTAAACCAGGAATATTCACCCTTTTCTCTTGACTTTTTGGACTGTTGGAGTCAAATTCCTCCTCCTCATCATCATCATCATCATCATCATCATCATCATCATCATCCTCTGAATTAGGCTGCCGTGTGTGAGCTTTCTTCCCAAATATCTAGAGAAAGTTTTACTTGTGTGATTAACACAGCAGCTATACTATATTTCTCCTTATAAAATGTTGCATCATTTTGTAAATAATAATGTGTAATGCAGGTTCTAAAGGACATAATGGTATGAAAAGATACTCACCCGTGCATTTGCATTGAGTTTACTGTCAGAACTTAAATAGTCCTCTTCCTCATCAGTCTCCTCTTCTTCATTTTCCTCCTCCTCCTCTACGCTTATCTCTCCATCAATGTTGATCTTAAAAACATACAAAAAATCATCCCATCAATTTATTTGTTTTCACAAAAAATCTATCCTGAATAACCCTAAAATTTAGCAATTAATCAGTCCTATTTTTGACCTTGGACCACAAAATCAGTCACACGGGTCTTTTCTTTTAATTGATTCATTCATCAAATGAAAGCTGAATAGATAAACTTTTCATGTATGTTTTGTTATGAATGGACAATATTTAACAGAGATCCAACTGTTTGAATCTTATAAAAAAATTTTATACTGAGAAAATCGCATTTAAAATTGTTTATAATGGTCCACTGAGTGGTATGGTATCTGCATGGGCCACCTTTATCAGGCTTGCATTTCCACTACCAAAAGGGTACCCATGGCGTGATGTCTGATAGCAAGTTTTAAGTCGATGTCATTCTCGTTCGAGGAAATGTCTACAGTAAAGCTGTACGGCTCGTTCTCATATCATATGAGAAAAACTTCTCAGAAAACAAATGCTTCATGCACATAAATACTTGTGTATAAATGTTCATTACTAACCTTTCTATGAACATGATTTAATTAGTTTATAGCTGCTGATCAAAGATAATACGAAATAGCCTAATCTAAGGTCTGCAATTATATAAAATAAATAAATAAATAAATAAATGCAACACATATAAACACATACAGACCCTCACAGTCTCCAATACGTTACCAATTACAGAAAAAACTACACACAGCATACATTTAGTCCGTATTTGGGTTCAAAAACAACATGCAACATCTACCCCACAGTAATTTCTAATCTGTATCTTTAATCTTCACCAGCACATGTAACATTAACATATTGTTAGAGAGTAATTTGTCATTCCGAGTTCATAATAATCCATAAGGTGATGATAATAGTTAAACATGGCAGTTTGTTCATGTTTTAGGTTGCTGAAAGAATTATTTGTTCCCTTTTTTTTGGGCTTCTTTGTTTTTCGCTTATCAGTCTCATGTTTGTCCCTTTCCGAAAGGATCGGATGTCAGAAGGACTTCAGTGATAACACATTATTATCATCAGCTTAAAAAGTTCATTATTTCATAGACGTGTGTGCAAGCTCTCTTGGAATGTGAAACCGCTCACACTTTAGACAGACAACAACGGGGCACAGAGTAGATTCTGCTCTTCGTCTTGGCTTTATGGCTTTTCATCAAGACGACAACAAGGTTTGTCGACCATGGTTCGTTATTATATGCACATATTATTACGGTTGGCTGTGTATTTAAAAATGGCGCTTTCTTTGTTTCCTTCTCCTGGCTTGTGTACGCACAAGTGACATATCTCTGTAAACCAATAGCGTTCTTGCTCTGCCTTTTGGTACCCTTTTAGGTACCCTTTTGAAAGGGTAACCAAAAAGTGGTATGGTACGATTCGCCTTTTGGTCCCTTTTTTTCAGTGGAAACAGCCATAAAAGCGTTCCGAACCATACCATACCATACCACTTAGTGGAAACAGGCCACAAAATAGTGCTTAGCCATTACTAATCAAAAATTGAGCTTCTGGAACATGATCATAATTGCATGATCCTAATACTTTTTGGCATAAAAGGAAAATTATTTATTTTGACCCATACAGTGTATTTTTGCATATTGCCAAAAAATAAATAAATAAATAAATACTCATGCAGTCACATTTGATCTCCTTTAGTCAGTGATGGGAAAAGACTCACCTGCGCTTCCTGAATGTGTTGACTGTAGGAACCTAATAGACGTTGCCTCTTCTTAGCATTGGTTTTCTCTGCCGCTTTATTGACCTTAAACACCTACAGAAAACAGCAGCACACACACATTTTGTGCTACTTTCAGGAAACCAATTATCCTGTAGAATTCCTAGATGTTTTTAGTCTCATAGATCACTAAAGACTTCCTGGAAAAAGTTGTTGAAGTCAAGATCAAAAACCCTAAAGAAAATGTTTGATTAGTTTACAGAGCAAAGTTCTTGTGTTTTTGCCATTGCTCTGCACAATGTTAAGGATCACAGCGACGGAAAATATCTCCAGTGCCAAAAAAGCTCTTAGCGGTGTCCTTGAGTTCTTAAAATCAATGTAAAAATGAATCGCACCTTACATGTTACTTGATTGATAAAAATGACTGATCAACACATGCTGCGCCCGCACAGAAGTAGAATGAGGAAATTAATTGAGATGGAACGCATTCTGGATTGTTCGGTGTAATGGAAAAATCATTAATATGGAAACGGCGCTGGCTTTGATTCAAAGGCATTTTTCTGACTTTGCTTTATTGAGGTGGGGTGCACTGAACTTTAGTTCATGGTTAATTCCTCCTCCCTTGCTGTGAAATACATCATACTGGATTATAAAAGTGTCTCTCCCGCTCAGCAGATACGGAATGGAAAGGTTTGCTTGAGGTCATACCTCATGACTAGAGTCAAGCTGTTCCCAAGTAGATTCTTCAGAATTACTGCTGACTTCCTCTGCAAACAAACAGACATAGCATGTTTCTGAATTGCTTTTTACAGGACATTATACATGCATTAAAATATAAATTATCATTCAAAAGTTTGTAGTCAGTAAGATTTGTTGGTAATGACACTTCTTATAGGTGATTGTAAGTACTTAACATAAGCGTTCACAACCATGAAACTTCAGTATGTCACTGGAGTGTAATACACTGCTCAGAAACACAAAAGGAACACTAAAATAACATATCATGAAATAATGAAATATTCCAGCCTGATCTCACGAAATAACATAACTATTTTATGTTTTGTCAGTTAAGTGAAATACGTTCGAGTTCAGTCGTGCAAAAATGTACCCCACCCCTTAACCCAGCCATCATTGGGGGATTAGCAAATCCTACTAAATTGTACAAATGAGATCGTAAGAATTCATACGAATTAGCCACTAAATCAAAAAGTAATGAATTGCTGTGATATTGTGTTGAATATTGAGAGGTAGCTAATATTCACTGTCTCCTCCACGTCTCCTGATATACAGTTGAAGTCAGAATTATTAGCCCCCTGAATTATTACCCCTCGATTTCTTTCTTTCCCCAATTTCAGTTTAACGGTTTAAAAAAGATTTTTTTTAACACATTTGTAAACGTAATAGTTTTAATAACTCATTTCTAATTTCTGAATTATTTTATCTTGGTCATGATGACAGTAAATATTATTTGACTAGATATTTTTCAAGACACTTCTAAACAGCTTAAAGTGACATTTAAAGGCTTAACTGGATCAATTAGGTTAACTAGGCAGGTTAGGGTAATTAGGCAAGTTATTGTATAATGATGGTTTGTTCTGTAGACAGTCAAATAGATAGCATAAAGGGGCTAATAATATTGAAATTAAAATGGTGTTTAAAAAATTAAAAACTGCTTTTATTCTAGCTGAAATAAAACAAACAAGACTTTTTCCAGAAGAAAAAATATTATCGGACATGCTGTGAAAATTTCCTTGCTATACTAAACATTTGGGTAATATTTAAAAAAAGAAATAAATTCAAAGAGAAGGTAATAATTCTGACCTCAACTGTACTAGCCTGTCTCCTGGTAGCGCTTCTATGCTCTTCATTCTACGCTGACAGACACAGCAAACCTTCCTTCCACAGCCTTGCCACTTGTGTGGGTTGTAGACTTTAACTGCATCCCAAATGGCACACTATACACTATGCACTCATGCACTATGTACTTATGCACTTACAGACTGAACAGTATAGTATATGTATGTAGTGTCGTCCCAAATGGCACTATGTTTTTTTACTAAGCGGAAATTCAAACCGTTTCCCTAATGACGTTTGACGGTTGCCAAATCAGTGAAATAAACGACCAAATTATCAAATAATACCTGCTGTGAGTATAACCGCATTCACCATCGGGAGGCGCTATAATCACTCTCGTAGGAGAATTTTGCTTTCACCATCCAAAATAAATAAAGTTATCCAACATGTGCGCCCGATAGCTCCGCCCCTTCCGCTACGTAAGCAAACCTGCGGTCGTTGAGTGCGTGAAGTGCCCATCATTCCACACTTCATTTTACCGGCTGAATAAGTGCATCATCCGGGTAATAAGTGCACTTATTATTTTTAGAGTTTTCAGTGTGAACACACTACTTACACTATATATACTACAAATGCGTGGAGAATAGTGCGTAAGTATGCGATTGGGGACGCAGCTTTTGTCTCATGCTACCACTAGAGTGAAAGTATGGCCGGCTTTCAAAAGTGACAAAAACATCAGCCAGAGGCATACAAAATGAGAAGTGATCTGTGGTCACCACCTGCAGAACCACTCCTTTATTGGGGGTGTCCTGCTAATTGTCTATCATTTCCACCTGTTGTCTATTCCCTTTGCACAGCATGTGAAAGTGATTTTGTCTTGCTTCCTAAGAGGGCAGTTTGATTAACTTGAAGTTACATTGGGTTGTTGAAGTGTTCCCTTAGTTATTTTTATTTATTTTTTTAATTTTTTTTATTTTAACAGTGTACATTAAGCATTAACATTCTTTTCATTAAACCTTTGGCACAGAATAATAAAATAATATCAAACTAATTAAACATGACAATGAATAAAATATGTTGAAACTTTAAAAAGAACAACACAATTCACTTTTACTTATACACTATTCAGGAGCCATGTGGCACCTTCTGACATTCATTTCACTCTTTGTTGAAGGATTGAGGTCTTCGCTAAGGCCATTGTGCTGAGGGATTGAGATGCACTGAACAATAGGTGCGTCCCAAATCGTATACTTATGCACTTTTGTACACCATTTAGTAGTATAAATAGTGTAAGTAGTGCGTTCACACTGAAAACTCTAAAAATAATAAGTGCCCTTTATTAATTCGGATGATGCACTCGTTGAGCCTGTAAAATGAAGTGTGAAATGATGGACACTTTACACACTCAACGATCGCAGCTTTGCTCACAGAGCTTTCGGGTGCTCATGTTGGATAACTTTATTTATTTTGAATTATTAAAGCAGAATTGTCCTACAAGAGTGATTATAGCACCTCCCAATGGTGAATGAGGTTTTTCTTATGGCAGGTATTATTTGGTATAATTTGGCAACTAATTTGGCAACCGTCAAACATTATCAGGGAAATGGTTTGAACTTACGCTTAGTAAAATAACCATTAGTGTTCCATTAGGAACATACATATACTATGCTGTTGATCGTGTAAGTGCATAAGTACATAGTGCATAAGTGCATAGTGTATAGTGTGCTATTTGGGACGTACTTGACGGAACAACCATGGTGGGCAACAGCAGAAAGGGTAAATTACTGCAAAACGCATAAAATTAATGATGACTGTATAAAGAAAATGTAGAATCCTAGGCATTTTAGAAGATTTGAAAATTCATGTCAGATGCATTTTTTGTCTCGAAAAAAAAAAACCGCATAGGTATATATGTCAACCTATAGACAGCACTATATTAAAAGGCACCTATTTGATCCCTTTTTTCAAGATTAAGTATGTCTTTCGTGTCTCCAGAATGTGTCTGTAAAGTTTCAGCTCCAAATACCCATCAGATTATTTATTATATCTTTGTGTATATTGGAAATTTGAGCTGTTTTAACTTTTGTAGCTGTGCTTTTAATGTAAACAATTCCCTGCCCACCATTACCACATGTGTGTCAATGACAAAGAGATTGCTTGCTATTGCTACAATGGGGGTAGCTTTTCCTGCTGCATCTCACGCATAAGCAGCGAAGTGACATACAAGAATGAAGCAGATCTCCCTTACTACAGTAAAAACTTTCCCATAACTTTGATATATTTGTTGTGGAGTTAATTCAAGCCTTTCTGCAACAATGAGTCACACACAATGTTGTTATAAAGTTCGCACTCACACACACACACACACACACACACACACACACACACACACACACACACACACACACACACACACACACACACACACACTCACACACACACACACACACACACACACACATGCGCGCGTTAGCTTTGCACTGTTTTTGCATGGCAAATGTGACAGTAGGCTGTTTGAACATCCGCTCAAAAATAAACCTGATTTAACGTTCACAAACTAGGATTGAAGCGTCTTCTTTTATAATTGTACTGACATGTGGTTGTTTTAGGAATTACGAAGCTATTTAACTGTCTTTATTACAAACATGCACTCCAGTATCACAGTGGACACAATAAACCTTCTGTCCAAACAGCTTACAAAAGATGATTTTCATCATAGGTGCCCTTTAAACACAACCTATATAAAGCACATATCAATGTCTTATTCTGTACAACAATATTTAAATCCCTTATTATAGCTAAACATAAGTACCTAAGCATGTGTAGTGGTAAATTGAATATGTGTGGCTCAAGTTGACAAGCTGTAAATTCCCCCTGTCAACTGTGCTTATCATTATTATTATTTTTGTAGTTTTATTAAAATAGAAATCAATATATTTCTATTCTATTGTATCTTCAAATAAATCAATCAAAATATTTTGGTCATATGGTTCACTTATAATCATTTTAAGTAAATATGAACACAGTTTTATAGAATAACAGTGGTGTAAAGTAATAAATTACAAATACTCAATCTACTGTAATTGATTAGTCTTTCTTAGGAATTGTAATTTACTTTGTGGTTTTAAAGATGTGTACTTTTACTTTCCCTTAAGTACATTTTTAGTGTTGTATTGGTACGTTTACTCCACTACTTTCCTTAAAAGTACATTTTTAGTGTTGTATTGGTACGTTTACTCCACTACTTTCTTTTAATCTGCAGTCACTACTTTATTTTTATTGTCTATGGGGATTGGCTGAATAGAAAAACCAGTTCAGCGATTCCTGTCCAAATCAAATCGCACATAGAAAGTTAATGGCATCATACTGAAATACCTCAAGACGATTTACAGTGGCGTAGCGGACGGGCCCCGCGTCGTCGCAATTTTTAATAATTGAAAATCCGGCAACCGCAATAATCAAACTCCTGGGAACAACTGTGGTCGGAACCAAAGTTCACAGGTGTGTGTTTTTGAACACCTCTTTCGGTTTGTGATTGCTCCTCAGTTTGTGAAGGCTTCCCCGCGTTGTCGCTCAGCCCCGCTTGCCTTTACCGCTCCTTAATTTGTGATCGCTTCCCCGCGTTGTCAATAACTAAATGCACTACAGAATGTTACATTTACACACATACACAAACTAGATGTAAATACATTAGTTTTTACAGCGTAATACTCATCACTCACTACTTTTGAGTACCTCTAAAATGTCTACTTTTTACTCATTCTTTGAGTAATGTCTACAACAGGTACTGTTACTCTACTTGCACTACATTTTTGTGGAAGTAATGGTACTTTTACTTTAGTGTGATTTTTTTCAGTACTATTTTCACCACTGTAAAATAATAATTATTATGCTTTTCCCCCATAATCGAGGACCAAGTCGTTGACAGTGGCAGGAATGTCAAGAACATTATCTATGGAATTAAATTGACTTA